GCTCCAACCTGCCACTACTGGGTACACATCTTACACAAGACTCTTGCTGTTATTATTCACCAATTGCTCTGGAGCTGAGATATATATATATATATATAGAGAGAGAGAGAGAGAGGCATTTCATTTTAATCAGGGAAAAAAACAGAAGGGTGGGGGGGTTAAGCAGAGAATTTGCAGTTTTTAAACAGAGAAAACCAGGATCCCTGCTCATCAATAGCTACTCAAACCAAATTTAATTGGATTTGACAAACAGGTAAAAACTGTGTTCAAAACTCCTTAAAAAAATGTATTTGAGACTTAATGAGATGCAGTATTAAATGGTTTACTAGAAAACAAACAGGATCTCTTGTTTTCCTTTCACCCCTAAACTCTAATTCTACCAAAACACTGGTGGATCTGAAACCCTGAGCTAATGACCTGAAAATTAAAGAATATCATCCTTTATTACAACACTTATACTAATATTACAAAAAACCTGAAACAAAAAGACAAAAAAAAGTAATGTTGAACTGTTCTAATTTTCTGGGCCAATCTCATGTGTACCATCAAGTCTTGTCTATAGTGGGAACCCTCAACAATCTCAGTCAAAGGGAACCAATTGTTTGAGTGGCTCCCCTGTTGCAAGCTTTTAACACAGACAGTAGGTGCTATTTGGGCTGAGAGACCTCTTCTCTCATACAGTGCAAATAAGAATTTCACTCATTTCCTGTAGAGGTTTGTAAGACAGCGGACACAGCAATGGATGTGATCAGGAAAAGAAAAACATAGATAACAGCTTGTAGTACAGCCAGTTCCTACACTTTCATCTCAAACTTGCAATATTCCATCATTATCTTAAATTCTATCATCTGGAGCAAGGGGAAATGGGGGACTCTGCACTTCCAGGTTGCAAAGAAAAGCCCTGAAAATGTGACCCTTTAAGAACTACTCAAAAACAAGAACCCACAGTTTTTCAAGCAAAAGACACGGTAGGGCTGGGAGAGGGGGCAAAGAGGGGCAAATCATGATTTTTGAATACTTGTGTTGGGAACATTGATTTGAGCTAGTTCATGAAAAAACCACATTGCTGTGTTTGTATCTTATTTGTGTAACAGGAGGTGTTAGTAAAGACTTTTCAAATATAGCATCATTTTCTAAATATAAACAGATCCTTAAAGATGATAATGGAAGGGAACCATATCCTGAAATATGAAATGAGAAAAGCTGCCCAAAGCCTCAGCTTTCCTGTAAACGGTGGTTGTGCTTGTATTTAAGTACAAAAATCATACAGTACAAAACTACCTCTAGGCTCTTAAAATGATACGTATCCAAATAGTTTCCTGATATTAGTGACCTATCTAGGGACTGAGAACCATGGTTCCTGGTTTCTGAATCCATTACCACCATGAACCTGATATATGTCCTCAGACAAGACACTTACCTCGTTGCCTAACTTAAACCTATATGAAAGGAGTACTAAACACTGTTTCAAACTAGAATTATCAGCTTTATTATTATTTAAAGCACAGATATTTTCAGATGATGGGCCCTATAGAAAAGCACAAAATACATTACAGTTTATATCAGTGACTAACCAGAGCAGGGAAAACTAACATTGAATTAACCATTCCTCTGAAATCCTTTCCTCCTCCTCTGATCCCTCAACTGGATGCACACATGCGTATTACTACAGCAGATGGATGCATTCTGTAAGATCAATCCTGACACAGAATTGGCACACCTTATAAACCTAGCTTTGCACCATCAAAACTAGAAGCAAGGTGATAAAGTTGTCCTAGGTTGCTCTCGAGGCACTCCCACTGCTGCTCTCAACCTCCAGTGGCAGAGAGGGGGAAAGAGCCAAAATTTCCCTGTCCTGAAATACAAGTCTTCAAATATCTATTGATAGAAACTTTAAAATAAAGTCCCAGTAAATCAGACAAAAGGCTCTAGAGGCAGCTGACACGCCGCATCACTGTTTCAAATACTTATGTCAGTTAAAGATCAGAGAGTGGACATGACATCCACTACAAAGGCTGGTCAATGATATTCCAAGTGTTACACGAGCAGAATCTGGTGGTGGTTAAAGCTACCTGAATTTCAGGCTACTACAGAAAACTCACTAGAGAGATAAAGCAAACTTAAGCAGCTAGATTTTCAACACAGCCAAAATCCAAGGGCACTTTTACACATGCTCTGACGTGTTCTGATTAGACCACGTTGGAGCAGACTCGATTAATCGAGTGTACTGGAGCATGCTAATCAGAAAGTTTCAGCATGCTGCAGGGTCTCATGTATTCAGTGGCCCCTCATTTCAAAATGGCAGCAGGGTGCTTTAACTAAAGCTTGTGCAAGCTTTAGTTAAACCACCACCGCCATTTTGAAATGTGGGATGCTGCTCCCGAGAGGCCCTGCCCTCCCCCCTGGAGCACGTGTACAGATGCCCCAAATGCTTAAGCAAACCATTTGAGTTTCCTTAAAAGCATATTAGAACTCTAATGAAAATTATGAATATTTCAGTCCCTTACTGATTTTCGTTTACTTCGTTTTTCCTTCAAATCCCTGCCACAAATACCTCAAAATAACTTGTATGATCACATTTTGGCACTCCATGTTCCAATTCAGGGTAAGCAGTGAGGGTGGAAAACAGAAGACATTTATCTGAACATATTAAAAATTTGGAATGGCTCTATTCCAAACATTTTGGCAATAATTTTGAGCTGAATTTGTACTTAACCTAAATCAATTTGCCCACGCATACACCCCCTTCCCTTAACCAGTCTAGAATAAGCATGTATGTTATTTATATGTTGAATGTTCTTATAACCACTACTCAGGGAGACGTGTCCGCACAGAAGCAATGAGCACTCACAATCCCCAGCACACCGTGGCTATGTAAAGCGTTTTGCCATTTTTTCACCTCCTGACTTGGACCCCAGAAAGCAGCTTCTGTAGTAACTTACAGTTGGCTAAAAAAGGCCACTGAAAAAAGGCCTATCCACACGGTTAAAAGGGTTTTTTTCCAATCCGAGGAAAGCAAGAGATCATTAATGGAATTATAGCAAAATCAGATTAATTTCTCAATATGCAAAGTTGACTCGCACTGACTTTGTGAGCACCCTGGTCTTAATCCATCCAGCCTTGTTTATAACATATTCTATGGGAAATACAGCACCCAGACAAGTAATTTGAAAAACCTTTTTTGTTCTTTCAACTCCCAGAATGTCTCAGGGGAAAAACAATCATTTAAAATATTTTCCTTGGGTGGAGTCTTAATCTGTAGAACTGTTCTTTTAAAGAACCAAACCACTGAATAGGGCAATATTCAGTGCTCTTCATAGAGCAATAATATTCTCTATAGCTAATATGTTACCTATCTTGCTTTTCAGACACCTTTGTTGAGGTAGAACACCAAGAAAGCTACAACTGCCAGGTTCAAATGAGGCTCTGACCTATTACTAGCTAGATAATTCCCCGCTGTGCACAGATTTGTAATCTGCCCTGCAAACCAGATCTGGCCTAGATGCAAATCAAGAATTTTAGACCCTAGCAAACCACGCTGCTTTTATAGCAGTCCCAGATAAAAGAGGAGTACAGGAGATTTCAAATATTTTTTTAAGTCTCCTGGAAGGCAAGAACAGATAAAAATCTTTCAAGAAAAAAATGTATTGCCTTCCCAAGACTTACTCCATGTATATAAAATATGTTATATGTATCCTACTGTATAAGGGCATACACTTTGAAGTAAGATTAAGGTTACATTTCAATTCTGTTGAGTCGGAAAATGAACAATTTAGTATTTGCACAACAATCTTAGTTTATTCAAAGTGCGTGTATTTTCTTTGCTGAAGTATATTTAATAGTACAACTAGTATTCCCACAAATTCTGAAATGTGCATTTCTTCTCTTTGGAATGTTTAAAATGGTTATATTAACACGACACTCATGCAAGTGTTGCTGTTTGTTTATTTCCCTGGATATGTTTAATAAAGATGCTTCAAAACTAGCAATTTACACAGATTTTAGTCTGCACTTCCACGCTGAACTGCATAGCTAAAAGCAACACAGCTGTAGAGATGCACAAGTACATGATACTGATATTTCATTATCTTAGTTTGTAATACTTTAGGTAACTGCCTAATAAAAACTATTCTCATAAAAGGATACCACTAATTTTCATTGACTTGTCTGTCCTTTTCTTAAAGCAACACCACCGCACACAAAATTTATTTTGAAGACTTCCTCAGTCATAACAGTAACTTGGAACGAAGTCTTAAAATTCTGACCCTATGAAGAAAGGAGTTTAGATTAGGTTAAAATTAGGGCTCATTTCCATATTTGGCTCTACTGCTAGCTGCTGCTACATTCTTTCTTCCCCAGTGGTACACTGCTGACTGTACTATTTCCACTACAAAAGAGCCTCCTCCATCCTATTCCCATGGTCTTACCCAGTCTTCTCTGTAGGTCCCAATTCTACTCTCTCTCAACAAATCACCGCTCTTGGTGGCAATGAAGCCAACAAGTTGCATGATGAAAAAGATCATGCCAGCTGTTAATCTGCGCCTGTGTGAATCACTCCCAACTACAAAACAAAAGGTACAATTTCCCATGCGTGTCTATATATTTATAGACACACACACTAGTTGTGAGGCAACCAGTCACAGCCAACCTTCTAAATTAGGAGGAAGACAGCTGCATGAGTAGAAGGGGTAGAAGCAGGAGTGCTGAAAAAAGGAAGTGTGAAAGAAGTTAAAGTTGTGCCCACAAAGTAGTAGTTAGATTCCCCTGATTTCCAATACCATTTATAGAATCCTTTTATGACACATTTCCCATCTAAAAGTAAGGAAGAAATAAAAAACTTCATGTAACAAAACTAATTTTGGGGGGAGGGAGCAGAGCCATAGATGGTCACAGACTAGTAGTTACATTCAGGAAGGAAGCAATCTTCAGAAACTTACAACAATATCTAAATATCTTTATGGTCACAAAATAAAACTAGGCAGATACTAAATGTCACTTACCAGTACGAGTAATAGGCTAAAGCCAGTACAATCAGTGTAACACAAATTCCAGTTAGCAAACATATCCCTGGCTGGTTTACCAACATCTTCTTAATGTATTTGTTTCTGTTTATTAAAAAAGGAGGAAGGAGGAGGTAAACAAAATAGGAAAAACAAAGACAATGCAAGCCTGCTTGGAAAGTAAATCAGGATTGGTAAAGAGGAGGGATTATGATGACAAAAGCACATCGAGGTAAATCTGGAAGCCTCACAATTACTAAAATCTCCCTCCTCAGCAAGAGCAGAAATTCTCCTACACATAAAGAGTGGCACCCAACAGTTACTCTGAGTTTACAAAGCTCCTTTCACTTGAAGGAATAAAAAAGCACTGATAATAGAGGTGTTAAAGTTGACTAATATTAAAATTGGAAAAAACGCTTCTATAAAAAAACACTGTCAGACCTTGTTGCTGTAGCCCTCTGTCCTAATCCAATAATCTTCTTACGACAAATTACCATGCTACAACCAACTAGATTCGCTTGCACTGTGTAGCACGCATGTTCCACACTGGTTTTTTTGCACTTTTCTCTCTCCACCAAGTTAGTGAAAGACACATCTGAACATTTAATAAAAACAAGTTCTGCCCACCTAGCAAGTCTTACTTTCATTTATATCAATAGAAAGTTCTTAAAAAGTTTAAGGACACCAAGCACTAGAGAAAGGAGAGAAGGAATTTGGTCTGTCATTGGCAGAATAAGTGCCTAAAGGCCATGAAGGCTTCAATAACTGTGACGGGACAAGTACTTATGTTTCCATAGGATACAGAACTGGATTTTTGTAAAAACTGGGGAAGAACTCAGATGCCATAGGCTGAAGGGAAGTTAAGACTCTGATGTCGTTAGGTCTCTGTTGTGACTGATTCCCTTACCCTTCTCCCAAGAGTACGGACAAATGAACATTATAGTAAAATAAAAGGATATGGAGATTCTTGCAGAGCAGCTGGCACACAGGAACTGTCCATGTGCATTCTCACCCCATAGTAAATGGTAAAACTAATCCCTGCTGGATTTGGCCCTCCTTCACTGAGAGTAAACTACAAGGATTCCAATTTTACAGGGAAAAAACAGAAACATTAATGGCTGCTCTGAAGCAACTGATGCAAAGTAAGTACCCATTCCCACTTACCTTGCTCTAATTTCTTTTTGTGATTAGCTTAAATGAAGAGGCTAAGGGTAAGAAACACGAACATGACAACATAGGGAAGGCTGCACTATAGCTAGCCACAGTAGATCCAGGGTGCCAAGCTTCAGGGCCACAGGCCAAATCCAGTCTGCACAACTGTTTCATCTGTGTGCTGGTACTCCTGAAGGTTACTGGAGGTTAGGGGGCAAAGCTAGCGAGGTGTGGCCTGTCACAGAACTTGGGGTCCCTGAACCCTGAAGGACATGGACATTTGTGGCAGGGGGACAAGCGAGTGTTGTGCAGATACAAACATTGCCTGCTCCCGGACCTGTGGATCTGGCCTGAGAGGAGTTCCCAGAGTCCAAATCCAGCCAAGGGCAAGTCTGACAGACCTGCTCTAGATCTTCTGTGGATTAATAAAGGAATCATTTAGAGACTAAGGAGAAGAGAAAAGAAATCTAAGCTCATTACAGGAGCAAGCAATGCCATGCCAAGGTGTGGTTAAGGTTCTGAGGCCCATAGCTATCTAGACATCCAAGATTAGAACAAACACAGAATTAAGTTCATGTCGATACAGTCTTTATATTTGGATGTCAGGGAAGAACGTGTGCTGGGGAGGGGGTGCTTTTCACTTATATAGTGAAAGTACAATGTTTAGCCTGGATACAGTTATGCCAGTAAAAATACCTTTAGATCATTTTACCTTATTCCAGAATAGGAGTGGTTGAAGTGGTAAGACTCGTCTAAATCCACAAGTTTTAATGATTTAGAAGTAGTATCAGGAACTCTGGGAAGCAGCAGATTTCAAACTAAGTATAGTTTAAATAGTAATTGGGTAAGACAACATACAATTTGCAGGCCAAACTGTAACATCAGGGGGAAAACCAGCTAATAGGATGCTTGTTAGTTATACTTTGTACGTCAGTGACTGTACAAGTCATCAATGCCTAGTACTTTTACAAGATGTAGTTAAATTGAACAGATGCAACATAAAGCAACTAAAGGCAATTAGTAGAATGGAGAGATTTTTATAAACGGAAGGGACAAAACTGGAATTACTTGAAAATATGAACCAAAGGGGAAAAAAAGAATGGAACTATTTGGCTATAGTTAAAGACTGAATCAGATATTTATGAAGTCCAAGAAAGCTAGCTGTAGTAAGAAACCCATGCAAAGAAATATTTAAGAAGGACTAGTGAATTAGTCACCTAAATATATTGTCCGAGTATAACTCCATAACTAATAGGAGTTAGGTGCTGAAATATTTACATGGGCCTAGACCAAGGTGAAACAGAGTTCTAAAGGAGGTAACCGCATCAAGCACCATTCATGCATTTCCTCAAAAAGGAAAAGCTTGATTTTCAAACACCCAAGCAGGTGCACATTGGCATTAATTTGAAATGCTCACACTTGGAGACACAAACATTAACTTGTGCACTGTATGTGCTTGTATAAGCATTTATCAAACCCACACGCTCAGAAGTCATGACTTTTTTGCAATCACTTCAGATAGCGGAAAATTACTCACTGACCTATACAGTCATGAATTATTGGTAGATCATTAGTAAATTCCATACTCTGGAATAGATAGGTGCCCTTCCTGTGGGTCACAAGGGAGTTTTTACTGATCATGTTTTCTCGGCTATGTTGTTTTTGCCCTCCGCTAGCATAAAAAGATGAAAAAAGCTTTAGGGAAAAAAAGGAATACACAACATAAAGATGGTATAAGAGACCTGGTGCTCCAGACGTAGAAGCTTACAAACCACATTTCATCCTACAACATTTCAAATAAGCAGGTATGAAATATCAATCTTCAGGACTCTCAATCCACATTTTTCACAAGCACAATACTAATTTATGAAAATTCATTCAGTGAAATGTGACAAATTATCAGACAGTCTCAGAACACTGTAAACTAATACAAAAACAAAGATAAGCAGCATTTAAAAAAGCTTCATTAGAAGATTTTTTTAAATTAGAAATTTGTAATAATTGCCTACATTTGAAACAGGCTTATTTGGCCTGCTATAAAAGCAATTCTAAAGTTACAGTCCTGGTATTCAAACAGTGATTCTATAATACCAGCCCTTACATAACAGAAGCAAAAAGGAGTTAGATAACAGAACTGCTATTAGTACAGAATGGCTTCTGAGAAATAGATTTCTTATATAAAATAAAATCAGTTATATAATTATATAGTGTTGCCAATCTTATTCTCTGGAAATAAAATATTTTCTAGTGTCTCCCCAGCTCTAAGACTATGCAGAGTTCTTCTCTCTTCTCCCAAAATACCGTTTGTTTGTTTTTTTTGGTCGGGGGGGAAATATACACCTTTTTGCTCGGAAATCAGAATAAAATGCATAGAAAACTTGAGAACTAAGTGCAGGTACGTCAGGCAGATACTCATATAACTAGGAACTCATCCAACAGTCTACCATTAAACCCACTCAAAAGTCTCTCTGCCTCTGATTCTGTGTATAAAATACAGATTGAAAAAGAAATAGAAAAACCAAAGCCTTAACTATCTAAAAGGAACTGAAAATGTTATATAAGGATAATAAATTTCACTTTGTGAATAGAATATGCAAAAAAAATAGTCAAAGGAGAAAAGCTATTAGATTGCAATATACTCTAGCTGAACAAGGTCATGCCTTAACTGCTTTGAGCAGTAGGTGTGTACTCTGAGCAGCCGGTGAGTGCTGCAATCATCACATGCAGAGATTCTTCATTGCAATCAAGGCTGTGTACAGGCCAAGTTCTTGCGGACTCACCAGGCTTAGATTTGAAGATGGCAAAACACTCCCAAAAGACAATGAGTACATCCAAAACCGCTGGAAGGAACTCTTGAACCAAGAGCTCTTGAACAGAGAATTAACAGTGATTGATGAAATCGTGAAATCTATCCCACAGTATCCAGTCCACTTGACAGTCCACCAACCTCTGAAGAAGTCCACTGGGCAATATGACAGATGAAGAACAACAAAGCTCCTAGCCCTGATGGCAGATCGGATGAGGTCTTCAAAGTTGATGGGGAAACTATGACCAAGAAGCTCCACAGTTTCTCAACATTTGGAACACTGAGAAAATTCCCGCTGACCTAAGGAATGCCAATATTGTCACCATTTTTAACCAGGGAGATAAGTGTGACTATGGAAACTATCAAGGTATCACTCTCCTCTCTATCACTGGGAAGCTCCTTGCTCAGATTCTGCTGAACTGACTACTCACTCTCATGGAGGAAATCCTTCCCAAATCTCAGTGTAGCTTCAGACCATAGAGAGGACATGATTTTTCCAGGCCAGCAGATCCAGCAAAAATGCCAAGAACAACACCAGGAACTATATATGGCCTTTACTGGTTTAACTAAAGCCTGTGGCTCTGTTAACCATGAGGCTTTATGGAAGATCTTATCAAAGTTTGGCTACCCAGGGAAATTTATCACCATACTAAGATTCCTTCAAGACCAGATGACTGTCTCCATCCTATACAGTGGCTCTGCTACAGAGCCCTTTGCCAGTTGACCTAGCATCAATCAGGGCTGTGTCATTGCACCAATTCTGTTTTCCATCTTTCTTATGATCATCAGGATGCTCCTCCGTGACTGTCTGCCACATGGTTCGCTAACCTAGTGAGGAGGGCTTTAAATTAGGTTTGCTGGGGGATGGACACCAACACCCTGAGGTAAGTGAGGAAGTGAGTGACCTGGAGGAAAAGCAAGTAGGAAGGGGCAACAGAGGAGGTGCTCTCATACTTCCTGAGAAATCAGGGCAATGAAGTAGTTACCTTGGGTGCCTGTACACAAATGCATGGAGCCTAGGAAACAAGCAGGAAGAACTGGAAGTCTTTGCACAGTCACAGAGCTATGATGTGACTGGAATAACAGAGAATTGGTGGGAGCTCGCATGAGCGGAGCACTGTCATGGATGGGTATAAACTGTT